ATTCTATAAAATTTGTAAAACTTTTTCTTAATAACTTTTTAATAAAGGACGAGCGATGATTGAAACATTTCAAATGTTACTGAGGACAGGGACCTTAACAACATATATAAAGATCAAGGTCATTAGCTGTGTCCGTTATTATACATATTTACTCATCTGTCTTTATCAGATCTTTTTAACATGGCCTCTATTGTTTTCAGATGTTTTTCTAAATTACCTATTGTGATATTTGCCATATGATATTATTTTTTAGAACATCCTGGGTTTCCTCTTCTAAAATAATTTTAGGTCTCCCTCTGGCTCTTTTGCTATTTTCAGGAATTGAAACTTCTTCTAATATATCAATTTTATATTCGTAAGTATTAGAATCTAGAGTCTCTTCTACATTTTCTTTCTTACAATTTACTTTCTTCTTAAACGAATTATTTATTATCTACATTTTCTATTATAATATTTCTGTTTCATCTCTAACATCTACATTAGATAACAAAAAAAAATCTACAGGTATATACAGGAAAATGTTTAAAAATTCAAACGACAAATTTTCAGAGATTGTCAGGGGCACCATAAGAATCATTTTTTGCAAATAAACCTGGGGTCGGAAACGTGTCATTACATCGCTAAGGCATACGAAGTGTTCGAAAGAGTCGGAACCTCGAAATATCACAAAAAATAGAAGTTTCAAAAAATTGTTTCAAACAAAAGTTGTAGGGTGTAAAAAAATCTTTACTGGCGCCATGTGTTTGACCTTGAATGCCGTCGCCAAGGTCACGACAAGGCCACCTTGAATTTTTGAAAATGGAATCCTCCACTTTTTATTGCATATTCTTGTAGCCCTTCTCGAGACCTTGTCAAAGTACTAATTTTACCAACTTTAAACCGTTTCGAAGTTATTCAGGCACCGATCTTGCCTTCATCAGTTGGATCAACCACCGATCTTGCCATGGTTGGCTAGATCATCTTCCAATCTGGGAATCGAATTTGTGTTTGGAATTTAATTCCTTGACTCTATTGCCACACAGAAATTTTCGTAATCTTCAAGCAGACTGCTTAATAACATAATTGACTGCAATTGGGTGAGATATTATTTCTGCATCTTCCAATAAATTAACATTTTATTAAAACTTATTTATATATTGTGATATTGACTCTGATGCATTTTTTTAGGTTATACAATTGTCTATGTAAGACTGCTTTCTTTTCTAGACCTTTGAAGACCTTCCTCTCAGAACTGTGAATTTTCGCTAATTCAGCTCATGCTTGTTTAGATGTCGTGACTTTTCTTATCTGTCCTAATTCTGTCTTTGATATGCTTAATGTAATGAGTGCGAGTGCCTTTTCATCTTTGATTGTCAATTCGATGCACTTGCTTCAGTCTCTAGTCTTTCGATTTTTCCACTTGTATAGCCCCAGAGATCATTAAAGATTAGCACACTTTTCATCTGCATTTTCCATGCCTCATAATTTCCATCGATTAGCTTTTTGATATGCTGCATATATATTTTCGATATACTGCTATGCATTTTTTACACGGTTGATCGGTGATTCTACTATTCATTTTAATATATATTTTTATACTTTGTACTTTTATACTTTGTATATTTATCTTCTTTCTGTATCTAGGCCCATAACCTATTAGATAGATACAATAGTGCGCAGGTATGGTTTATTTTCCATCTCTTTTCATCAGAAATCTTTGCCTTCATTTCTTTTGATAATTTAATACCTGAAGCATCGAAAGCCTAGAAAACCGTTATATGCATATAACGGATGCAGATTGGGCTGGTGACCAAGATGATCGCAAATCTTGTTCGGAAAACCTATATGTACTAACCGGAGAACCAGTAAGTTGGTTTTCTAAAAAACAAACATCAGTTGCGCTTTCACAATGGAAGCCGAATATATAACTATTTCCGAAACGACAAAAGAAACTATACATTTGCGAAGATTAATTAAGGAAATGTACGACGATGAATACGTATATAATCCAACAGATACATTATGCGATAACTAAAGCGCAATTGTATTGTATGAGTAAAGAGAATATACTTCATCAGAGAAGTATATCGAAATAAGATGTCATTTCACTAGAGATACTCAAAACAAAGGTCTAATTGATATAAAATTTATTTCTATAGATAAAAATGGATATATTAACAAAACCATTACTATAAACTATACACGTAAATTGCGTTCGTTTATTAAATTTCACACAATTAATTCAAATATAGATATATTCAGATAGGGGAAGTGTTAGAGATATCGTAATATACAGGGTGGTTGAAAACTTTTCGCACATTCAAAGTATGAAGGTAGATTGATTCAAATTAAGAAGGAAGGTCCTTCACTGTTTTGCGATATTTGCAATAATTAACAAAAAATTAATTTAAAAAAATTGACCAATGCGCGTGGCTAGAAGCCTTCGCCGCGCACCTATACATTCATCACTCCTCCCCTTCCCAATCACCGCTTCACCGCGCGTCGCCATTATGTTACAGTGAGACCGCCTTCACCGCCATGCACTTCTAGCCACGCGCATTGGCCAATCTTCTTTATTTAATTTTTCGTTAATTATTGCGACAATCACAAAACAATAAAGGTCCTTCCTTCTTAATTTGAGCCAATTTACCTCCTTACTTTGTTAAGGTCAAAAATTCTCTGACATCCTGTATATGTTGCTGTTCTCTTTATTATAATATATATTCTCTTTATTATATATTAATTTTAGTTTGTTTCTAGTTATTTATCGGCACATTTAATTTTATGTTTTTGCCTATGTTCATTGTTATCGATCAAAATTTATGTAACCTTTTGGTTCACACATATGTGTGAGAATAACCATTGCACAATAAAGAGAGATTAAGTACACATAAAGAATCACTTCTGCATTAATTTACAACTTTATCTCCCATACCTGTGTACTATTGTTTGACATTTTCCTTGTCACACTTTCTTTGTATTCAAAATTATTCGAAATATTAAAAAATGGTTTTCGTAAAATCTCATGATAAGAATATTTTTATTTAACAAAATTTTAAAATAAGTTTTAAAAAAATTTTTTTAAATTGTTTTTTAAAAATTGTATTAATGTAAAATTTTAATTTTATCATCTAAAAAAAAACCAACATTAGCTTTTTCAAAATTATTTAATTTTTGTCTTAAACATTTTTATGTAAATAAACGATATATATATATATGAAACTATTTTAAAAGGCAATTTCTACTGACTATTATATGAAACTATATAAATAAGATATAAAAATATATAAACGTTATAAATATTGTACTATAATATGAACAAATATTGTACTATATAATTTATACTCAGTATACTTGTATATGTATAATCGTAATTTTTATAATTTTCGAATTAACAAAAATAATGTCTGCAATTCAAATATTATTAATCAAAAGTCTAACTACATAGGCCTGCGAAATTTTAGATTTGGTTAGTTACAAAAAGCAGAGGAGGTGAATCTGATTTTCTAACGCTGAAAACGAATCTAATCGCAAAATTTCTCTAGCGCGTCAGGTTTTTGAGTAATTTGTGGATAAATAATCCAAAAATTACTATTTCGGCAAAATTCATGAATTTATTAGGAGGGAATCTAACTTTTTGAATTATTTCTGTCAATCATACAGTATTAATTTTCATCTTTCAAATCCATTTTCGATTGCCGCTGCATGGTTATTTTTTGGTAAGTTATAAGAGAAAGGTGGGGATGTATGTGGGAAGAGGTCGGACGTGTCTTTACGTCCATTTGATCAACGAGCGACAGAATCCATCCGTGACAATGGCATTGACGCATATCCTGTGAAGAGAGCATTCACATTTTTCAGCCTAACGAATAATTGCTAGAAAACAATATTCGCAGACTAGAAAAATGTGAGGCGCAAGTGGCTGAATCGGGAATCGAACCCGAGTCTTTCGCTTTCCGAGCAACTGCTCTAGACCACTGAGCTATCCAGACCTCACACCTAATGCTGTTTTTTAACACAGTGATACGCGACTCCAGAGCGATGTTATCTCACTCGATGAATGCAATGCCAATTGCCATGGAGGATCCCTGAAAGGTCGTTCACTGACCAAAGTGTCGGTGGAGGTATTTGCGTGCATGTTGGCTTTCAACTGGCCTTCCGTATGAAACGGTACTGACGAGCACAACGCCATAGAGTGACCACATTCCCCTTTAGTATATACTAAAATCCTCACTGTACCAAATAGCAGTGACGAATGGACCCCAAGATAGGGCCGGAGCCTCCTGATCATGCATAGTCTTCCAATAAACCATTTTAATTCAACCGTATTACCTCTTTGTCTTATCACAAATTAAATTTGAATAAAAACATAAATTTTTGAACGCCACCTGTCATTTTTTGAAATTAAAAATGGCGCATTCAATATGGCGGACAGAATCACAATAAAAAAATATAAAATTTTAAAAAATTTATAAAAATGTGTAATAACTGTATTAGAAATATTTTTACATGATTTTTTTGGACAACCAAACGTACCTAACGTACATATGTAAGCCTTTTCAAATTTCAAGATGGTGAATCTGCCATATTGATGTTTACGTAAATTTTCTTATAACTTCATACTTGTATATTTCAGCGAAAAAAAACGTGCAGCAGCAATTGAAAATGGATTTTAAAGGTGAAGACTAGTACTATATGATGCCATTGACAAAAATATTTAAAAAAATTTGATTCTTTCATAATAAATTTATGAGATTTATAAAATTCATGAGATTTATAAAATAAAAAGATATATTCAATTACCGAAATTGCCATTTATGGACTATTAAACGATAAATTATTCGAAAACCTAACATGCTGCAGATTCTACGGTCAGATTCGTTTTCAGTATCAAAAAATCTATCAGATTCACCTATTCTGCTTTTTGTAACTGACCCTCGCAGATCTGTGCTGTGTGTTGAATTTAAGAAATGTTTTTTCCTGAATAAATATTTAAGAAAATGAGTAAAATTAATATATACCTCATGACCGTCAGCGTCGTGATCTCTCGTTGAAGCGAAAGGATCTCTTTGCTCGTGATCCAAATATTTTTCCAAATTAAAGAAAGTATCAAAGAAGATGGACGTCATTTTACATTTTTTTAAGTCATTCAATGATATCTTGCCTGGTGTTACTGGATGAATCATATCTAACATCTGAAGCATATTATATTTTTTACATTTTATTATAACATTCTTATCTTATTCAATTCATTCGTATTCATAGTTGATATTTCAATATTATTCTAAAATATTCGAAACTTAAAACATAAAACTATAAAGACATATAGATATACTCTAAAAGACTTATATTTTTTTTACCTGACAAAGGCAATCCTCAAAAGGCAATGTTTCCAAACCAATCGCTTCCATTCGACGTAACTGCTCTTCATAGAAGTATTCTAATTCATACATCGACAAATAACCATCACCGTCAAGATCCATGCATCTATCAACGAAAAATCATAAAAAAATATTAAAAGAACATAACTAAATTCTATTATCTATGATTATATTATTAATGCGGAATAATTACCTAAACCAATATTCAGTGGCAGTGGGATGGTTTTTATCTTCTTCACTAAGAAGAAACCACACAAATTCCGTATAACTCATCTTATCTTCTAATTGTTGTACATTATTACCGCTCTTTATTTTACCACCCCTTGTCACAGCACCACTAAATATTCGTTCGATCATTCGAGTTGATAATGCTGAAAATAATTTGATAAATCATATTTGATAAAAATTCAGTGGAAGTAAAATTTGCGTGTATTATATTCAATCACGAAATATATTTTCTCACCATGATCATTATGCCTTGTTAAGTCCATTTTATCTATGAAGAGATCGTGATCGCGATCCAATTCCCAGAATTTACAATATATTACATAAAAATGTTCATAACTAAAATAGGCTGTAACTTGATTGATATCTTCCTCTTGTTCAAGTATAGCAATCACTGCTAACAAGTTGCTTCTTCTTAATTCTGCTAATGAAATTTTGCCACTCCAACTTCGATTTACACAATAAAATATCCTAGCAATCACCTACAATTATATTTATATGTAAATATCTGTGAACAATTAGTTTTATTTATAATTTATATCAGAACATGTAACAATTTTTTTGAAAAAATTATGACTAAATTATTTTGGAAAAAAATATAAACTAAACGTAAAATTTTTAAATTATTTAAATTTGAATTTGTAATCAATGTGTTGAATTATTTCAAAATTAAAATCACAGTTATAAAACTTTTATTAGTTTTAGGAAGTTTTTTATATTAAGTTAGGAAGTTTTTTTTATTAATAATTAGGAAGATTTTTTTATTAATTAGAAAAAGTAATTTTAGATTGATATTAAATTGTATGAATTTATCGTTTAATTGCAATTTAATCTCCAAAATTTTGAATAGATTTTGATCTCAATCCAAAAAATTTCGAATCAGATAAGAAATAAAATATGTTATCCGTACGAACCGTATGCACATAGCGGGAATGGAATTCCGTAGCTTCTTTTAAGAACGTCAATCCCGGATGCGTTTCTACTACATCTTGTACAAGTGGGATTAAATCCTCTGGAAGTATATTGTTTCGAAGTTTCCGAGTGACAATTCTAATGAATTTACTAGCTACATCGTGATGAATAATTGTTAGCCTGCAAAAGTGGTATAATATTATACAATATTATGTTATATAAAATATTATTTATTAATAAAATTTATCAGATGCACAATTCTTTGCTGATAGACACAATATTTATTCTATATTCCGCGAAGGAATCATGTAAAATACAATATTTGTTTGTCACTTTTATTATTTTATCTTATTTCTTTTTTCTAATAATATATGAATAAATGCTGTACAAGTCGATAAATAGATTATTATGAAAAATCATTTTACATAATATATAAACAGGTTAATAATATATAAAACGGTGTTCAAAAAAAGGCCGAAACATTGGGAAAACTCGAAAAATGTAAGTTTTATAAAAAAATATTTAATACAAAAGTTATAAGTTTTAAAAAAGCCTATTTATTAGAACTTTATCAATTTCATCTTAAAACAAATTGATCATGAATTTTTTTAATTGAATCCTCTATCAAATTGATAAATATTAATATAAAAAGATCTAATTTTACACACAATAACTGTAATCTTAATATTAATCTTAATAAACATTGTTATAATTCTGAATAATATCCTCCAAAAAATTTTACTCCTTGTTTATTAATAAGATATAGACAATGTAACTCCATGTAATGCAACTCTATGTAGAAGTTCAAATGTAAATTGTTAATGACGAATTTGAATAGAAAATTTATATGAATTTATTATTCAAATTGTGTATCACAAAGCTATGTCTACTCTCTGTGCCAAAAATTCAGATAAATCGAATTAGATTGGATTTATTCTATTACCATTCTTCGAAAGACAATGGCAAATCATCGAGAATATCGCAAGAGAACTCCTTTAATTTCGGAGCATAATTTAAATTGTAGGTCTTATGTTTGTAGAAAAATTATAAAAAGATGCATATTACAAGTGTGTATAGAGGAGTTACTATTCTATGAGAAGCGATGTATATGTCCTAGAAAGAAAAGAGGAAAAGAGAAAAATGAAGATGGAGAGGGAGTGAAGAGAGGGAGGGAAAGGAAAAGAGAGAAAAAGAAGGAGAAAGAGAGACGAGAGAGGGAAAAAACGAGAAGGAAGGAGATAGAGAAAAAAAGGAAAAAGGAACGAGAGAGAGCAGGAAGGAAGGAAAGAGGATAGAAAGAAGGTATCACTATTTGTTACTTATTGTGCCTCTGCTTAAAGCATTGGAAATGATCGAGAATTTGATTCCCGAAGGTAATTATCTAGAAGAATGGCAACCTCATCGATGACTTTGACCTTGACATACGTGGTCAAGGTCATGATCCTGAGTAACCTCCAAAAAGTTTTAGTTGGCGGTCATTGTTTATTAAGAAGTTGTGAACAATTGAAATTCACGTAAAGATCCATTTCCAAGCAAAATTTTACATAATTTTTCAACTTTTCATGCCAAACGACGTACACACACACACACGCGCGCGGGGGTGCAGAGAGCCCCTCCCGCATCACCCCGCCGGTAGACAGGATAGACCTCGCTTTACAACTTACAGCATGTATTGATTGTGGCAAAGCGAGGGCCACCTTGCCTACCGGCGGGGTGAAGCGGGAGGAGGGCCAAAGGCCCTTTTGTAGCCCCCGCTTGTGTATGAGTCCAGACTATATAAAACAGAACAATTATTTTTATCCTTTTTCAGCTTATATCTCGGAAAGTATTTGAGTCCGACCCTCATATATATATATATATATATATGTATATATATATATATATATATATATATATATATATATACAATATATGAAATTATTCGGGAAGACCTGCCCTACAACATATTTAAAAATAAATCAAATCGGAGCGGGGGCCCCTTTTATGCATTTACCCATTACGTATTTAATACATGTTTTTACTATATTTTTACTACAGAATTAAATTGTTAGTAACTTCTTAATATACGTCAATAATCGCCAACTAAAACTTTTCGGGGGTTACTTAGGATCATGACCTTGACCACATATGTCAAGGTCAAAGTCATTGGTGAGATTGCCGCTCTTCTAGATAATTACCGTAAGTTTATTTTAATAAAATATTAGAGCTTACATCCTAGTTGATGTACGGTAAATGTTTACTTTAGGTTATACAGCTCGAAAAAATTTTATTTTCTCATATGTTATAGAGGATACATTCCTAAGTAATACACCGTTTGAATTTTGCGGCGATCTCTTTTCGTTTCTGAGATATACACTTTTGAAGTTTCATACTTTTATGTCATCTTTTCGTTATATTCTATTTATATATTTACATTTTTTGTTTACATTTGTTCATCATGGTTTCATATTATATTTTACTTGTATGTTTATATTCTTTGTTTACGTTTGTTATCTCTAATTAATATTCTAATTGTCACGTCCAGCGATCCATAGATCCCTAGATATAGCAGAAATTTTTTCTTTTGTCACTATCTTCTATCCAATAAGCTACAAGCACAAAATTAACATGAAACTAATTGTAAGAGAGACACACTTATACGTCACCTATAATAAAATGCTAATCTAAGAGAGAGATATATGTATATGAATCATCTATACGAGCGAGATAGACTTATATGTAATACTGAGGAAAGACAAAGACCGATATAAGGAAGTCCTTTTATATAAGCTTCTTTTATATAAAAATATATTGTAAAAAATGTCTAAAAGATTAAAGAGAATCTATTTATGTAAAAATTATGATAAATGACCAATATTTTAAATAATTAAATAATTATTGTAATTCTTTGAAAAGGGTCATTTATCGTAATTTATTATAATGTATGTAAGACACGACCTTGCAAGCAATGCATTCGAAGAATCAACTAATACGTATTCCTAGAAAAACTTTCTCTTATAGACCACCCAAGAAGTTCGCAAAAATCCGTTTCATAGCTAAAGAATTTGTTCTTAAAACTCCGTCATAAATTACCCCTACCATTCAATTTTAAAAGTGTATAAAAACTCTTCCAACAATGGAACAGCAGCTCAGTTCATTCTCATTCTCGAGCTCAGTTCATTCTCATTCTCGAGCTCAGTTCATTCTCATTCTCGGGCTCAGTTCATTCTCATTTTCGAGCTCAGTTCATTCTTATTCTCGAGCTCAGTTCATTCTCGTTCTCGGGCTCAGTTCATTCTCATTCTCATTCTCAACCTCATTCTCATAGATTCACTCTAGACTTAAACTCACTCAGATTCTTACTCGTACTGTAAACTGCTAGACCAAGTCAGAATAAAAGAATTTAAATTTTAAACAAAAGTATATTCCTTTAATTATCGTCAATAAAGAAAACCCAACTCAAAGTAATTAATTATCCTGGAGTTTTACCTCCTTAATCGCAAGAAGAAGAACCCACAACTAAGACGTTCTGTCGAACTCGAAAAACTGTTGGGAAAATCTGCCTCACAGAACCAACTCGGCGTTACCAGAACGTCACATAATATAAAAATATTCTAATAAAAATAATATAAATATAAATAATATAAAAATAATAATATAAATATAAAAAATAATATAAATATAAATAATATAAATATAAATAATATAAAAATAATAACTAAAAAAAGAAAAGAAAAAAGGCTACAAGGACCAGCGCAGAGGTTAAAAATATGCGAAGAATTAAACGGTAGTTACAATTCAACAAACCGAAAGAAATGTTTATTTAACTAATTCATGTTTATTCAACTATTAAACAAAACAAACGCAGCATTTCGATCCAATTCGGATCCTTTTCAATGTCGGAAAACAAGTAATAAACAGAAATTAAAATTAAAGTTAACGGTCATTGCTATAATATAAATAAAATATAAAAAGAACGCAACTCAAAATAAACGGTAATACAAAAGTTAAAAAGTCAGAAACATAAATAAACGGATGGTTCAAAAAAACAATAAACGAATCAATTAAAAAACGCAACGCATTAACCGTAATAGACGGAATTTCGCTGAATGCCGAAAGCAAAAAACTCTCCATATCCCCAATGTGACGTGGAAAACCCACTGTTCCCTTCGGAAAACAAAACCGTAAGAAAACCACACAGGTCCACAGTCATTTCCAGAGAAAAAAAAGCCAGAGATGCCTAAATCAGTGACCAATTGGAAAGTAATGGTCCATGTGTGTGTAAAAAAAGATTGATTAGCGTGACAAATTAAAGAAAAAGAAAAAGAAAAGGAAAAATAGACTGAGCAATATCATATCGGTTAACTACCAAAACGGAAATTAACATAATAAGAAAATCCTACATACAATGTAAAATTGATACCATAAAAATATTACTTGAATAGGAATTAATTACATACCGGTCTCTAAAAACGAAGGTAGTCGCGAATTAAAGATCACACAAAGGGAGAGCAAGTTAAGCACGACTTGACGTTCCGATATAAAGCGCCGAACTGAGATACACGAGCATGTACAGTGTCGCGAGGTATTAAAAGAGGGGGGAGAGAGAAGAACAAAATGTCACAGAAGGAGAAAAGACAGAACAAAAGACAAAGGGAAGTCTTTCCTACTCCTTTCTTCACCATTCCTTTTTCCTCAAGTTTACCAAGAGGTTTCTAACATAAAGAGATATGCGAACAGAAGATTGGCTTTCACTGTTAACAACAGATTAAAATCCTTTATCAAATTATATAAAGATCCGGTATCTAAATTCCACCACGCGAATGTTATCTATAAAATCAGTTGTTTGGATTGTGATGCTACGTATGTGGGACAAACCAAAAGGAAATTATTGACCAGAATTAAAGAACATCGTTCTGATATCAATAAGGCTTCTGGTTCTCTCTCCCTCCATAGATTGGAGGATCATGAATTTGATTGGGAGAATGTCTCTATTCTGGATGAAGAACACGGATATAACAAGAGGACTAATCGCAGAGATGGTGCACATCTCTAATCAGAAGCATAGCATTAACATTCAGAGCGATACCGAATTCTTAGATAAGCTATATTTGCCGATCATTAAGAAGTATTCGCATTGAATGTTTTTGAAAAAAACACACTTTCCTTTGTCTTTTGTTCTGTCTTCTCTCCTTCTGTGA